ACTCTGTGCGTGTTTTCTCCACAGAGACTCGTGTCTGGTACGTTGCTCACTGCCAGGAGGGGAGAGGCAAGTGACGTCAACTATTCACCCTGGGTTGGTCTCCAACTGGGGCAGAACCTTGGAGCACCTTTCCCCTCTTGCTGGTCTCTGCGTACACAAAAGACTACTGCTCCTCTGCGAGAAAAAGAAAAAGCCACGTCTGCCCACCTGCTTCTTTCCTGGTGATTATAAAATAAAATGTTCAAGAGTTTTGTTGACTTGTAGAACAGTTTCTAGTGCTCAGAGTATGGCTAAATCTTAAAGAATAAGAAATTTTGAAGAATATCTGGATTAAAAATAAACAAACAAAAACTAAGATAAAGTTTAAGGATATCCAGTTTATAAACTGGCTTCTAGGCTAACTAGAGTATTCATCTTCCTATTGGTTCCAGAAATAAAAATTTCCAATCCACCCCTTACTGCACCTCATCCGCACCCCAATTCCTCACCCTTGGTCTACTGTCAGGAGCGTTTTTTAGGAGCTACTGTGGCCATGACGCAACTACAGCTTATAGCAATTGATGGTTCAGATGTCAATCCACCCGAGAAATTACTCTCAGATGGAGGAAGCCTGCCTGGCAGAGCCGGCAGGGCCCTGACTCTGAGAGCTGCTGCTTTCGTCTGGAATTTGTTTGTACAATAACAGCTACGATAGCTCCCCACTCCCATGCATTTTCATGTAACGTGCACATGTAATCTCATGAATACATCTCAATTTTATGGACGCACACATTTCGGGATGGTCAGAAAGATGACTTCTCTCTACACTATGTTCTCCACATCACGGTGAGAAACTCAGAAGCCTGTTCTCTGTCATTAGCCTTCCTGACAGAACCAGTCTGCCAGAAGTGTGCCCTGGATCACAAATGGAACTTTCAGGATTTTACTTATGAAATTGCAGGTGTCTGGCCTTGTAGACTCTAAGGCCCTCAGTGGATTTATGATAAATTAGGGCTGTATTGCAGGTGTCTGTCCTTGTTCTTAGTCCTTCAAGAGACCAATAGTTCCCAACTGACTAACCGTGTCTAGATATTATTAATCACATTTCAGATGTGTAAAATAATTCACATATTCTTTGTCTTTTCTTTAGATCTCTCAATGGTTTAATTTTCTCCCTTTGTAACCTGTAGCAGTTCCTTTAAAGAACTGCCTGACCCCCTCACAGCTGCAGCCGCCCTTAGCTACAAACTAGCTGATTTGTTTTGCTACATATCTTCAAAGAATACCTGTGTCCCAGAGAATTTTCCTTGCAGTTTTTTTTTGCAGTTTTTTGTATTACAAACAAGTTGCTGCTAATGAATGTATATATATATATATACATACACACATACATACACACACACATATATATACATATACATATATATATATATACATGTACACTTGGGAATTTCTAAGGGCAGGAGATATAGATTGAGAAGAAATAAGATGGAGGAGGAGGAGGAGAGAATGTAGAGAAATTAGAACAAGAATGAATTGGAGCAGAGATTTGTAAAGAGACTGGATTAGAATTGAGACAGAGAAGTAGAGTTAAGAAATTACAATTAGGACAAGAGACCTGGAGTAGAGGCAGTAGAATAAAGAGCACACGAACAGAAAGACTCTGTGAGAGAAGATTCTTTTCCTGCAGCCATCAGACTTGAGCTCCTACGCTTATTGCGGTTTCTCTTTCTGAACCTGGATGAGCACCTTCAAGGCAGGCCCTTGAAGGTTCTCCATGGTCGGTTTGCCTCTCACTGTTCCTAAGTTGTCAACCTCCCCTCATAGGACATGCTTCTCATTTATTATTTTCTGGATTGCACACCAGTAGTTCATTCTGGTTTGTGGTTTGTTTATTTTTGCTTCTTACTATGTAGCGCCGCATGGCTTGCTTACAGTTTCAATCTCTCATAGGTTACTATCTGGTTCATTAGTACCATGACAGGGAGCCTCGTGGCATGCAGACAGGTTCTGGAACAGTAGCAGAAAGTAGAGACAAAGAGAGGGAGACTGGCTCTGGAGTGCGCTTCTGAAAGCTCAAAGCTTGCCCCTAGTGACACACCTCCCCAACAGTGTCATGCCTCCTAATCCTTCTCTGCCGGTTTATCAGTTCGGGACTAAGCGTGACAATACCTGAGCCTGCGGGTGTCAATCTCATTCAAACACACTGTTCTGTGTAAGGGATAATGATGTGAAGACAGCTCACACATGAGTATGGGCCCCGGCTCAACCTGCAGTCATGATGGCTGCAGATAAGAAGCGCTGTTATAGCTATTTGTGGTGGTGCACACCTTTAATCCCAGCACTCAGGAGACAGGAGCAGATAGATCTCTGTGAGTTCAAGGCCAACCTGGTCTATAGAGTGAGTTCCAGGACAGCCAGGGCTGTTACACAGAGAAACCCTGTCTCAAAAAACCAAAAAAAAAAAAAAAAAAAAAAAAAACAAGAAACCACAAAAAGGACTGGCAAGCACCTGTGTCCACGCACTGAGCTTTCCTGGATGACAGAGTACACCTTTGACATTCCTGGAATGAGGCATGCTGGTATGTGTTGTAATTAGGAGCGGCGGGCTGCGTCCCCGGCACCTGGCCGCCCACATGGCTAGCTCTAGGTTATGCCCCAAAATAATTACACGGAAACTGTATTCTTTTAAACACCGCTTGGCCCATTTCTATCTAGCCTCTTCTAGGCTAGCTCTTGCACCTGGACTAGCCCATTTCTAATAATCTGCTGTAGCCCACAAGCTGGCTTATCAGGAATGATCTTAACCTGCGTCTGTCTGGAATGGGAGAATCATGGCAACTCCTTGACTCCCGCTTCTTTCTCCCAGCCTTCCGTTCTGTTTACTCCACCCACCTAAGGGTGGGCCTATCAAATGGGCCTAGCAGTTTCTTTATTGCTTAACCAATGAAATCAACAGATTGATATATGACACTCCCACATCAGGTATGAATGACTTCATACTTGGTTACACACTTTTAAGGTAATCTTAAAATCAATGACATTTTAATATGTGTGGTAAACAACAATCAAAGAATATATTTGTGTCACTGAATCTTCAACAGTTTGAAGGCCTTGAGATGTAACAGGAAATGAGTCTGGTGAGGCTCTGTGTGCGCAGGAGGGAGTGACAAAATTATTTTGGCATTTGGGAATTTTTTTTGTGAGTGCCTCCTCTCTCTCTCTCTCTCTCTCTCTCTCTCTCTCTCTCTCTCTCTCTTTCTCTCTCTCTTTGAGCTAAGATCTCACCATGCAGACTACACCAGCCTCAAACACAAACTCTTCTTGCCTTAGTCTCTTGAGTTTTCAGTGAACTCACAGGCTGCAGGTTCCGCAGTGAACCGCCACACCTGTCAACTGAAATATGTGTGTGTGTGTGTGTGTGTGTGTGTGTGTGTGTGTGTGTATCTGTGTGTCTGTGTGTAGATGCAGGTGTAGGTATGTATGTATGTTTTACCTCTGGGCTGGAGATGTGGCTCAGCGATAGAATATCTGTCATTCATCAGATATGGTTTCAGTCCCCATTACCACCTAACAAACCAACAAACCATAAAAAAAAAAGAAAAAGAAAAAGTAGCTTATTTCTAAAACGGTACCTCTTCTGGTTTTCTCTCAGCCAGGCCATCAAACTTTGTTAAGTCACCCAAACCAAACCCGAGGTGGATCTTCTTTAACTCGACAGTAAATAATTAATTAAATTTGCAGCCCTAGGAATCCAAGCTAGGGCTTTCAAGACTACCAGGAAAGGTCTCTATCACTAACTTAATCACCAGCTCCTTCTTAATGTTTAAATAATAATCAGGGGGAAAAAAAACCCTTTAAGTCACATCCGGGTTTTTCTTTTTATGACTTAAAATTGAAAGATCACTTGTGAAACAACAGCCATTTCCTGAGACAAACTGGTGGACCTCATCCGAAGTGGCTCCATCTCTAGTGTGCTGGTGAAGTCGATGAGGACACTTTCGGTGAGCTCTGTTACCGCACCATCTCCACCCCACCTCAGGCTGCCGAGAAGGACCTATAGGCAAGGGCCTGGCATGACGGAGTACACTCAGCCTCTGGTTCAAGTCCCAGCACCTTTCTTAGATGACATTCAGGCTGTTTCGTAAGACCTCTTGCCAAGCAAAACAAGGACATCAAACAAACATTAAAACGTAAACGTTCATAGGTTATCACAAGTTTCCCAGTGAAGCCCTGTTCACCAAATAAATGGATCGACGGGGCCAACTGTTTACGGCAAGCAACTTCTGGCCTGCTTGGCATAGAAAGACAAGCTACCAATGATCCCAGTATTCTTCACCCAGTGCCTTTCCAACGTCCCATCCCCGTCCACCTTCTGCCGTGACCCCTCGCCTCCGATCTCCCACTTTCCCAGGGGTGCATCGGTCGGGATGCAGGACATTTCAATGCCTGCTGCTGTGACCTCGTGTGCTCGTGAGCAAATAATCCTGGGGTTTCTGCTGCGGGCCGGGGTGGGGGGGTGGGGGGGTGGGGGGGCGATCATGCCGCAGACCCGGACCCAGAGGCTGGAGAGGGTAACCCAGCTTGGCAAGGCGGAGTGGATCCCGAGGAACGTCGACCCTCTAGGATCTGGCAGTGGCTAGTGCTGAGGTGTCCCGTGCACACTCAGGGTGAGACGACGCGGGTTGGGTGAAGGCAGATGGAGAGCCCACAAAAACCAGGATTCACCGCAGGAGCGATGAAAAAAGGCGCTGGTGCAGGGTGAGCCGCCGCGTGGAAATGGCCGCGGTGGAGATGGCAGGGGTCGCAGCCCGTGGGGTGCGGGGTCGCAGCCCGTGGGGTGCGCGCTCGCAGGAGCCAGAGTCCCCAGAACCTCCAGGGAACACAGGCAGGAAGAGGCGGAGTCCCGAGGAGGAGAAATGAAAGGGGGATTCCGGGAACTGGCAGCGGGGAGGCGGCCTTGGTCCTACTGTCGGCGGTGCCTGAGGTCCCCACCCACGTTCCAGCGGTCCCCGCAGTACCTGGACAGCTGCATCTCGCAGATTCCCTCGGAGATGTCCCTGGGGCCACCTCGGAGCTGCCCTGGGCAGCAGGCGCTGATGCGCACGGCCGGCGAGCAGTGGCGGCCGGCGAGAGCCGACCCAGGCCGAAAGCGGGAGACTGCGGGGTGATGGCCGGGGCTCCGCGACCCGGAGAGTCTCCGCTAGCAGCAGGGCTTCCCCGGTCTGGAGTAAGATCCGGGCGGCGCTAGCGCGGGCGCCTCGCGATCCTGGCCGCTTGACCAGCGGCGACCTGGGAACAAGGCGCTAGGCGGGGCCGGGGGCGGAGTGAGGCCCGGGCAAAGCCACCAGATTGGGCACTTTCTTAACCATTAGAGTGCAGCATCCCCACCCACTTCAAGTACAGTCTAGGGAGCCAGAGATAACGGATGGGGGGGTGGGGGGGGTGGGGTGGTGTTTTATTATCTTGGCCTCCTCTTGCGGCTAGGTTAGTGTCTAGAGATAACTCGATACAAATATACAGGATGCAGACCCAGTGGTGCGGGTATGTGCTCCCAGCTCCAAGCAAGGCCGGGGCGACAGGATCTCAAATTCAATGCCTTCCTAGGATACAGAGCAAAATCAAGGCCAGCCTGGGCAGTACAGGGAGACCCTGGCTCAAAACACAAAGGAAAAGGGGGTTGGGGTGTCACTGAGTGTCAAAACACTTGCTGAGCGTGGACTAGGTCCTAGGTCCGATCAATGAACCCTCTCTCCTGGGTCCCGCGCTTACCTGTTTATAAACTTTTGTGATTGTCACTTTTCACCCAGGGTATAAGCAAAAATTATAAATACCAAAACCCAACCCCTGCTTCTCCTTGGGTCTTTGCTTAATACTCCCCAGCTCTCACCCCCCAAGAAATAGATAGAGAACAATCCTTCCTTACGTACTTAGGTGCTGTTTGGAAGCCCCTGGCCTGGGTGTTGCCCCAGTCGGTTGCCAAGCGCTGCTCCCACAGGTTTTTCTCCCTGCCTTGCTCTCTCGGTCCACCAGAGAGTGCTGCATTTATTTTTTAAAAATGGGCATTTTAATTTGGTCTAATCTCGTTTGATTGGAGTTTCTTGCATCCGTGGAGAGGCTTTTATTAAGATTAAACCAAACACTGATATTCTTTGTCTTCCAAAATAGAATCTGGGCACCTTTCAGTGGCGTGTGGCTAGTCTAAACACGAATGTTACCAATGTTACGGAGAAGGAAATGTCAGTGGAAATCCCAGACAAGGTATGAGGCTGACTACATTTTCAGCCTGATTTGAGCACTGAATCTCACTTTCAGGTCTCATGGGGAGGGGGTAATGCACAGTTTTTGTGGAGGGATTATTTTCCCATAAAAATGTTCTTTTTTTCTTTAAAGACAAGATTTCTTTATGTGTCCAACTGACTTGAAACTTGAGATCTCCCTCCCCCACCCACCAAGTGCTAGAATGACTACGGAGAGCCTCCACACTCAGCTTAAAGGAACTTTTTCATCGACGAGGTATCGTTTGTGGGGCGCCTCTTCGTGGGCTGGTCGTGAAGAGGTGTCACAGGCCTACCTTTTGTGTTCCCCGGGGCAGAATTCCTACCAGTCCCACAAATTTGAAAGGCTCTTACCTGGGGTCCTGGCTCTCTACCAAACAAATATTTCAGCCACAGTTTCAAAGAAGCTGCAGAAAAGGTTCCAGCAGATGGGGTAAAGCTGATACAAAACTGTGTGCTGAGTGCCTCCATTTGAGCATTAAAAGTATAATATATGCATTAAAAGTAGAAATAGCGCAGAAAATGGGTGGGGCTGGAGCTCATTATGTTCAGCAAAATAAACCAAACTCAGACCAATAATATGTTTCCCTCATATATGGAATGTAGATTTAAATATATATATGCAAATTTCAATATAGGTGATGAAAATAAAAAGACGTCTATGAGAGTGGAAGAAGAGTTCTAAAGGGAGTGGGGGAGACCAGAGAGGATAATGAATATTCATGTCATGAAAGCAGAATAGGGCATATTTGGGAGGAAGAAGGGGACAGCAAGAGGGGGAGGGGATGACCAGGGCAACAAGGGCACAGGAATAAAGTCCAGTGTCATATATATATACATACACACATATATACACACACACATATATACATATATACACATATATACAACGCATATGTATAGACACAAATATACACACACATATATATACACACCACACACATACATACACATATATACACACACATATACACACATTACACACACATATATACACACACATATGTACAACATATGTTGTACGGAGCGGGGGGCCCTTTGTTTGTCCCCGCCACCTGGCTAGCTTACACCCTCAGTAATCACACAGAAACTGTATTCATTTAAACACTGCCTGGCCCGTTAGCTCTAACTTCTTATTGGCTAACTCTTACATCTTAATTTAACCCATTTCTATTAATCTGTGCATTGCCACATGACTTTGGCTTACCAGCAAGATTCTAACCAGTATCTGTCTCAGGCAGGAGATCCATGGTGTCTGCCACTCTGCCCTTCTTCCCAGCATTCAGTTCTGTCTTCTCTGCCTACCTAAGTTCTGTCCTATGAGCTAGGCCAAGGCAGTTTCTTTATTCAGCCAATGAAAGCAACACATAAACAGAAGGACCTCCTACACAAAACACACACACATATATGTATATAACACACACATACACATACACACATACATACACACACACACATATATATACACACATATGTATACATATACACACACATATATATGGGATTATTGAAATTTCCATTTATACCCTTGGGGGAAAAAGTATCATTGTTCTAATCATTTTTTAAAAACCCAAATGTTAACTATGATCAATTGTATTTGAGTGTTTAATCTTACTTTCAGGTCAAGCAGCCTAGTAAAAGAACCACACATGACTCACTGGCAGACAGTTCCCTAGAAGGAAGACAGTCTTTCCAACCAAGCACTTACTCGAGTTTATATGATGTATCCCAGGGTGCCTGGCTCTCATCTTGGTTCTCCTGGAAAGCCATGCGACCCCTAAGAAGCAGAGCCCTTTGGGAGACCCTGTTCATTAATAGTGTGTTCTGGAAGGGACTGTGGGAGTCAGAACTCTTAATTTTCCTCTTTTACATCCTGTGTTCCTTGCCTTGGCTTATTGCTTTTGTCTATATCGTATTCTTCATTGAATGTATATTTATATGAATGATGTTTAAGTTTTCCATGATGAACATAGATTTTCCTCCAGATCCTTTTCCTGCAGTAATCTTTGAAGCTTCTAGGAAGAAGATGGGGCCCCACAGCAATAGCTCCACCTGGTGAAGACTTGGGGCCCCACAGCAACAGCTCCACCTGGTGAAGATGGGGCCCCACAGCAACAGCTCCACCTCGTTGAGATGACAGTATGATGCTGACAGTGCTACTATAAGACTGGGTTTCTGGGTACCAGCTGCTGAAGTGGTGCACCTTCTCATGGATAATCTACATTGGTATGGTTTTCTGGGGTACCAGCTGCTGAAATGGTGCGCCTTCTCATGGATAATCTACATTGGTATGGTTTTCTGGGGTACCAGCTGCTGAAGTGGTGCACCTTCTCATGAATAATCTACATTGGTATGGTTTTCTGGGGTACCAGCTGCTGAAGTGGTGCACCTTCTCATGGATAATCTACATTGGTATGGTTTTTTTGGGGGGTACCAGCTGCTGAAATGGTGCGCCTTCTCATGGATAATCTACATTGGTATGGTTTTCTGGGTACCAGCTGCTGAAATGGTGCACCTTCTTCATGGATAATCTACGTTGGTATGGTTTTCTGGGGTACCAGCTGCTGAAGTGGTGCACCTTCTTCATGGATAATCTACATTGGTATGGTTTTCTGGGGTACCAGCTGCTGAAGTGGTGTGCCTTCTCATGGATAATCTACATTGGTATGGTTTTTTTGGGGGGTACCAGCTGCTGAAATGGTTCACCTTCTCATGGATAATCTACATTGGTATGGTTTTTTTGGGGGGTACCAGCTGCTGAAATGGTGCACCTTCTCATGGATAATTTACATTGTTATAGTTTTTTGGGGGGGTACCAGCTGCTGAAATGGTGCACCTTCTCATGGATAATTTACATTGGTATTGTTTTTTTGGGGGGTACCAGCTGCTGAAATGGTGCACCTTCTCATGGATAATTTACATTGGTATAGTTTTTTTTTGGGGGGGGGGTCCAGCTGCTGAAATGGTGCACCTTCTCATGGATAATTTTACATTGGTATAGTTTTTGTATATTGATACAAGTTCAAATTATATTTGTTATTTTTGTTTACATTATTTGTACACCTACGCAAAGTTATTCTGTCAGATTGTATACATGCATGTTTCTACCTCTGTTTAGGACATTTTTTATAATGATACAACTTTTAGGATATATTTTCATATTGCATTATATATCACTCCTACCTCTGATCAAGATACTTATAGATTGTTTACATTTTGAGGTCATTGTCCTCTTTTGTTGCACATTTGTTTACAGATGATTTAATATTCTGATGTGAAGTTTTAGTCTTTAAGGTACACAGGTATTAATTATTATAGGTCAATAGTTGTTCATGTTTGTTGTACTTACAGTCAGATCAATTAGGTTCTTTAGATACTTAGAGGTTGTAGTCTGTCTAGATAGGTAATCTTCAACCACTTCAAGGATCTGTAGAACATGGCATTTAAATAATTTAGGGTTCTGTTGACATGAGACATGATTGCTCCTGAGAGAATGTTGAGCATCAAAGACATTCCACTAGAAGTTTGTTTTCTTCTGGGCACCATTGGCCTTTGGGCAAGGAACTGCTCATACCTCATCTACTGACAAAGTGCATGGTATCTGGAAATAGATAAGCAGGACAGTCAAATCTTGACAAGACAGGATAAGACAATTCTGAAAATTTTCCTTCCTTTGAAAATGGTCTGTCAGTTATGCTAGGCCTTAGTCAAAGTTGATTGCTTCTACGTTGCAAAATGAGACTTTGAGTGATTACTCAGGTATCTAATTGTCTCCATCATATACTGCTCACTTTGGAAGCTTCTTGATGGTACTTCCTGCCTGCTCAGGCCTTCAATGGGATTGAAGATTAGATCGCCATAGTTACTGTACTCTTATGATCTAGCCAAGCCATTTCCTATAAAAGACCTAGACTCCTTAGGATAGGATGTTTATTAAAACATTTAGCATACATTCCTTGTTTAATATTGTTTATGCTGACTATAATTAATTATATTTGATATCTATTCCTAGTGGATATAGTTTTGTATTGGGTTTGGAACC